ATTGCTTGTATGCTTGCCCGACTGTCCTTGATTTGGTCTTAATAATTCTCTTGACTAAAAAAAAAAAGGAGAGAAAATATATTATAAGATGCATGATTTATTATGTGATCTGGCAGTCTATTCCTTCAGAGGAAAATTTCAGATTCGTGGGAGATAATATTTTATCTTTTAAATTTTCTAAAGCTATTTAACACTTTTTTTGTTGAAACTGGAAACCAAAAGTAACGAGAATCATCAAAGATGTTGAAAACCTGCATTCATTTTTTTTAGTGGAAGAAATGATCAAGGATTTTCTGAAATACTTACTGAAATTTTAAAAGGCATCAAGAAGCATTCGTTTGTAGTTCATACACTCTGTAGTTCATACACTCTCCATTTCATACACTCTCCATCTAAAAAAAAAAATGTCTGAGGCTATTAAAAATTTGAAACATCTTTGATATTTGAATCTTATTGTAAATCTCACTTGAATTTCAAGATCATTAAGCAGTTTTTATCATTTGCAGTTCATAATCTATAAAAATGTGGCTGGGGGGATTATGCTCTGATGATTTCTTGCCTGGCAATGTTAATCTTTCTAATCCGCGACGCTTGGTATTGCCCCCCGAATGTATTTTCGGATGTACCTCTTCACTTAGTTTTTAATCTTTTGCTCTAGTCCACCCTCTTGAGCATGCTTTCTGGTTAATGTGGAGATGAATTTTTTTTAGATCATTTGTATATATGCAGCATCATTCTTATGCATTTACATATTTAACACATGAGCTGCAATTTTATATATATGCCATGTTGCCTATACTTGATAGGTGTATTCCACTTTGTTAAGTCAAAATAAGAATACTTTTGATGCAAGCTAAAGACTTGGGTGGTGTCCATGTGAGCATTAGCCATATAAATACAAAAGAATCAAGTTGTCTTTCCTTATAAAAGCTTGAAAGTTTTGAAAATTTGAGAATTTGGGTGTTTTATTTGTAAAAATCTGAAAGTATTGGGTGGCCTATTTGTGAAAATCTGAAAATGTTAGGTGCCTCATTTGCAAAATCTGGAAACTGTGGTTTTGTATTTGCAAAATCTGAAATATTTGGGTTGTGTATTTGCAAAATCTGAAACATTTAGGTGACGTATTTGCAAATTTAAAACATTTAGGTGGCAAATTTGCAAAATCTGAAAATTTTGGGAGCTTCCATTTTCTCTCTACTTGCTCCTTAGTTGAATAATTTTAAAGCATGATTAAGCTCACATTCTAGTTTACATTTTGGCAAGTTTGGAAAGTTGTGATGCCTCACTTTTACAAAAATCTGAAAATTTACATGCTACATTTGCAAATTGAAAAGTTTATAAATGCTTTGGTGTTATACTCATATGAAAATCTGAGATGTTGCATATTCTCTTTGCAAAGGTTTATGGCTTTGGTGTTTTACATTTGCAAAAGCTGAAACTTCTCATATTCAATTTGAAAGGTTTGGAAGGTGGCAATGCTTTACTTCTATAAACTTTAAGAGTTTTATCTGAAAAACTTAGGAAAGTCTCAATACTTTACTTTTGCAAAACCTGAAAGCTTTAAGCATTTGAAAAATTTGGAAGTCTCTCCGAGTCATTTTTATTTTTTAAGATTTGAAAGTCTTTGGAGCCTTTTAAAAACATATTTTGTGGGTTGAATTGACTTCAGTTTAGATATTTTAAAAACACGTCTTTTAGGCTGATTCGGGTTGCAGTTTTGCCCTGTTTAATAGGGGTTTTGTTGGTTGTTTTTAATATGTATTTGGCACTGATCTGGGCTGCTGTTTTTGCCCTGTCTTAGTGATATGTTTGGGTTGCATTTTGAGGCTTTTATACATCGATTTGGGCACTTTTAAGTGCTGATTTTTTGGAGGCTTTCAAGCACTTTTTGGGACTGATTCGATCATTGTTTTGGAAAAATTTAAACGCCTTTAGGCCGATTCACTTGCGGTTTTGCCCCTTGCTTTGTTGATTTTTTTAGAAGTAGGTCGGATTCCTTCTCCGTTGATTTGTTTTTTAACGGTTAAGTTAAAAATGAAAATTTTTGATTTAATTATTTTCAGGATTGATTGACGGTCTTAAAAAAATAAAAAGAAATGGGAGGGAATTAAAAAAATGATATTTAATCTGTTGAGATGATTCAAACCTAAAGGGGAAATATGATAGCAAACCATTCCCATTTCTTTTACATAAGAAGGATAAAATTATAATTGTGAAAATTATTAAGAATTGGGAGAAAGTAAAAGCTTAAACGATTTAAGAGTTAGGGGCATGAATTGAAAGATTAATAAGCTATCAATTAGGACCCCTAAGCATTGAATAAACTTAAGCCCAATTGTTTTAATTAGGATTGAAGAACAATTCATGAACATTTTTGCCAAAATTATAGGTTTACCCCTAGGTCTTAATAGTCTGATACTGAGATAAGTTTGATCTAAAGATGTTTAAGAATTAGTTGAAAAATATTTAATTAAAGACAAATACTTTAAAACACTTCAGACTCAAATTAAAGTGTAGGTTTCTTAGATTTTAGGAGCACACCCTAGGTGAGAGTCCATCTACCTAATTTTCAAATGAACACTGAACACTGAAGCTAGCACCTAACCCTAATTTATAAGTTAGTTAAAGCAATAGACAAGGTATGCATTAGGCTGTGGTTCATGATTGATTTAATTAAATCAAATAATGAAATTCTCTTCATAACTTGAACTAAAATGAAGCAATTGCTCCTGGATTTGAGCTTGAATTTTACACTCAAATCATCCTGACAATTGTGGACATTCCCAATGCACATATAAATTATCTACCCTTGGTCTTTTATACGTGACATTGTATTTTGTTTGATTTGTTTGTGTTTTTTTCTACAATTTTTTTCGAGTCTCTGTGGGTCGATTTCAGTTTTCCTCAGGGCTTTTCATGTGCTACTCCGTTGTTTATTCTGCTACTCCGTTATTTATTTGTTTATTCTGTTATACATAAACACATGTTTGTCCTGCTAGCTAAATTTCTTTACTATACTTTTATATGTAAAATTGATCTCATTTACAGGTACAACGATAACAAGAAATTAAGGTACCCAAAGTTTACAGTATATTTATAATACTTTATTGCATCTTCTTTATTGCTCTTTACGATATGTTTCCTTTATACTGCTTTTATTTACCGCGTCTTATACTGTTTCTATTTACTGTTCTTCCTTATAACATAGTTTGTTTATGCATGATTTAAGTTAACTACAAAACCTTTAGGATATAATCTGGTTTAGGAGATATAAAACAGTAAGTCACCAAATAATAATATTGCACACTCACATATAAGACACTAAACCTGAAACTGCTACTACATGGAGTATGAAACAACTCTTCGTGGGTAGCACGACCATGACGTAGCAGACAAAGGATGAGGATCTACAGCAATACAACAAGTCTACGACAATTAAACATTTTCCTTATTTTAAATAACTCCTCATAAGACTTCGAGATAGTTTGTTTAGCGCAACGTGAATCCTCACATATTATCTTTAGGATTTTGCACAACCCATTTTGCACAACCCTGATTTTGCACAACCCTGTTGTGCAATTATAAGTCCTAATACTTTTAGGATTCCGAGGTTACCGTACGGTACAACATAAATTTGCACGATCAAATATCGTGCGAATGTCAGTCCTAAATTTAAAATAAATTGCAGGATTAAACATTGAATAATACCATTTCAAAGACATAAAGCCAAACAATAGGATATTTTGGAGGTCATCGGGGTTTTCCTTAGATTCATGATATCTCCTAATCTTCATTCATTTGGATTCCTTAAAATAATTGTTCTTATTTTAATCACTCCCATTTGATTTTCCCGTGTCCAATCTTGGAAACCCAAACTTTAAAATCTTGAAGATACAATCACTGATGTACAACCACTGATCTTAATCGAGAGTCTTCTTAAGTGATACAATCACTGATCTTAATTGAGAGTCTTCTTAAGTGATGATTCTGGTCATTTAAGATAAAATTAACTATAGGGGTTTGACTCTACAGGGAACTTGGAACACAAGAAAAATATACCCTATCAAATCCTTATATTAGATAGAAGAACTTGTCGGCCATACATAAAAGGTTTCGCAGAGCAAACGGATGTCGCAGAATTATTTGGTTTGGGTGGTTGAGCCTATTACAAGTGATATGTTTATTCTTCGAGATAGTGTATTACTTGTGGTATCGCGTTCAGTCATCCAAACTATTCAATATGTGAGACTCGTTTGGTCTCATCTATTTTCAAGATTAAAATATTACTTTCAAAAATAAAAAAAATCACATATTCACATATTTATTATTAAAACTATTTTCATATTTACAAAAAACAATCATTTTCCAAAATAACGACCGACACAAGAGAATGAAAACGGATCTTTATATAAATTACCCAAAAAAATATTTAAAATCCTATGGGTACGAACAAATTTTTTTTTGGGAAAACTCAGTTTCTCAAAAGTATTTTCAGCAAAAATTATTAGTAACACGATCATTGTATATGGCTTGAAGCTTGTCTTTTAGAGCCAAATACAATAAGGTAAGATTAGAGAAAAATGTACCAACCACACTCTAAGAAACAATAATGTTGAAGTACCAAATATTTTTTAAAGAAAAATTCGGCTTGTCAAAAGTACTTTGAACAGAGGTTCTTAATAACAATATCAAAACAGTACAATACAATAAGGTAAGATTAGAGAAAAATGTGTCAACTGCACTCTTAGAATCAATCATGTTGAAGTGCCAAATATTCAAACAATAGCTGTATGCAGCAACACAAATAGTAAATCAATAAATTTAAGTGGTTCACAAACATGTTTTAAAAACCTTTATCAAAAGGTCTTCTTGTGAACACACATGACATGCTCAGTAAGATATTATTTGGTATGCATTCAAGAGATATAAAATTCTTGAGGATAGAAATTGGAAAAACCAATAGAAAAAGAAATTATAATACTTTGACATTGTCTTCATACCTGAAAGTCATTGAAAGCAACATGAAGGTTTGAATCAATATTAGTTCCAGTAGATGGATTCATTTGTTGAGAGAACAAATCTAATTTATCAATGGTAAGACCTTCCAAGCCTTCAACAAGCTTTGATGTAAGATGCTCTAAAGGGCGCAAACACAAAGATATAACCCTTCTATACATTTCGCCTGTCTCTTCAAAGAAAGCAGCTCGCCGCCATGGTTCAACATTATTTTCAGATATCATGCATAAATCAAGATATGCAAGATATTTTAAAAGAGTTCTAGGGCTGCTTTGTTCCAAAGCTTCAAGCAACCCTTCACTTGGATTTGTTTCTGCAGCAGCTGATCCTCGGGATGGTGCAAAATGGCATCTTCTTGTATGCACAACCTTCAATAAATTTGAGAATGTCTTATTTTGAATATATGTGATTATAAGAATCCCTCTATTATTCCAAGTGAATCAAAATGAAAAGTAGCCAAATTTTGTCATAGAAATTAGAAAACTAAGCATGCTTTATCTTACCTGAAGTAAGTGAGTACTTAGCTCCCAAGTGAAAGAAACAACAGAAACTCCAGCATACAAAATAACCAGGTGACGGATAGATGTTCCAATTGATTTCCTGGTCTTAAACTGGTCTGGAAGCAAGAGCATCACTAGCAATGAAGGAAATAATGCCAGAGTTGATAGTTTCAGGGCTTCCCTAAGAGATGAATAAAGACCCATTTTAAAGCTGTAGAAAAATGGACGCTGCAGAATAAAACATCAGCCTTTAATGAACAGAAAATTATCAAAACAAGCACAATGACAAGTGTAATATAAGAGGAAAGCAAAATTCAAGAGCTAGAATCAGGCATGGTTGAAAGATTAAGAAAAGTATCATATCTCTAAAATACCAAAAAAACGCCATATAATGGAAGGGTGTCAAGCAATTGCTAAGTAACTGTTGGAATATTTGCTTAGGAGTGCCTAGGATTAAGGAATTAGTTTTATTTTCTTTAAATCTTGTTTTAAAGTTTTGATTTCTTTTAGCTATTTTTATGGACGTTGATTAGGGAGCATTAATTACTTTCCTTTTTCTCTTCTTTGTATTGGGCGGCAATTTAAAATATATGTGCTGCTGTTTTTTTTGAATCAAGAATAATCAAGCTTCTTCATATTTCTTCCCCTCTTTCTCTTGTTCAAGAAACCTTCAATTAGTATCAGAGCTCATTTCTTAAGGGGTCTGTGTGTGCGTGCGGCTGTTATGGAGATCGACACCAGTTTTTCCTCGATTGTTCCACCCTTGTTCGACGGTGAGAACTATCGGATTTGGGCGGTACGCATGAAGACTTATCTGGAAGCCCTGGATCTCTGGGAAGCAGTGGAAGAAGACTACGATATTCCTCCTCTTCCTGAAAATCCCACCGTG